GTGTGATGTACTGACTGCTTAGTGTGATTTGCTGACTGCTTGTGTGATGTACTGATTTGCTTAGTATAAATGCACTGACTGCTTAGTATGTTACTGACTGCTTAGTATGATGTACGACTGCTTAGTGTGATGTACTGACTGCTTAGTGTGATGTACTGTCCAGTATGATGTACTGACTGCTTAGTGATGTACTGACTGCTTAGTGTGATGGTACTGACTGCTTAGTATGATGTACTGACTGCTTAGGTGATGTGCTGACTCTTAGTATGATGTACTGACTGTCTAGTGTGATGTACTGACTGCTTATAAGATTGTACTGACTGCTTAGTGTGATGTACTGTCTAGTATGATGTATTGACTGCTTAGTGTGATGTACTGACTGCTTAGTATGATGTACTGACTGCTTAGTGTGATGTGCTGACTGCTTAGTATGATGTGCTGACTGCTTAGTATGATGTACTGACTGCTTAGTGTGATGTACTGACTGTCTAGTATGATGTACTGACTGCTTAGTGTGATGTACTGACTACTTAGTATGATGTACTGACTGCTTAGTGTGATGTACTGACTGCTTAGTGTGATGTACTGACTGCTTAGTATGATGTACTAACTGCTTAGTGTGATGTACTGACTGTCTAGTATGATGTACTGACTGCTTAGTATGATGTACTGAATGCTTAGTATGATGTACTGACTGCTTAGTATGATGTACTGACTGCTTAGTATGATGTACTGAATGCTTAGTATGATGTACTGACTGCTTAGTATGATGTACTAACTGCTTAGTGTGATGTACTGACTGCTTAGTATGAGTACTAACTGCTTAGTGTGATTTTACTGACTGCTTAAAATGATGTACTAACTGCTTAGTGTTATACACTTTCTATCTACTAATTTACTCAGGTCCTCAGACATAATTTTTTATCGAAGACAATTTTCCCAGTTGCTCAGCTTTGAGAGAAGGAAGACAGTAAAGGCTATTTACCAAGTACAGAAGAAACTCAATTCCAGTAGAGTGAAAGTGACATGTGCGAGACTTGGGAGTGATTATGTCAGAGCATCATCACATCAATCAGTGAATGTTAACAGTGTTTGGTATTTTTACCAAGGAAAGTGATAGGCTGGATAAGTAGAACTTTCCAGACAAAAGATGCTGAGGCAATGGTGCTTTCGCAAGTTACTTGTTTTCTCCAGGCTGGAATAATTTTGTAACTGACGGCCACCTTCAAAGGGAAATGAGACTGCTGAGCTGGAAAACATGTTTATATGTGTTCAGACATTTAACCAGTGGGAATGTCTGAAGTCCCCTTAAACTGTATTCCTTGGAATGTAAACGAGAAAGGTACATCATAATTTACACCTGTGAAATCCTGGTGGAAGTGGTTCCAAACCTGAACACTAAGAGAGAACTTATTGAGTATCAGAGGACCCCGACTCTTCAAAAAGCCCTCCCTTCGTGCATAAGGAAGCCTCACAAGTACCTCAAATCAGTTTCTGACTAGCCGGGCTGTGGTTCGTAACGCTGGACTGCGTGTGGCCGGCCATCAGAAACAGCCTGGTTGAAACAGTCCTTAATCTAGCAGGGGATTTTGGCTTGAGACCGGTCCTCGGGGGGGTTGACTCCCAGAAACAGTCGTATTTATTATGCTGTACTTTATATTTAGAATGTGTTAATGTAAGTGTTGTGTAGCACATACGACGAGGTTTTAAAAAAGTCGACGTCATCGTTTGCCATAACACTAAATTAATTAGATTTTAGCCGTGACTATTAATACCTAAAAAACCACATTAACCACGCTGATTTACACAGGCAATTGCTTGTTTGTTCTTGTAAAAAAACTGCTAAAATTGTGTGGGAAACTGAACGCATGTTTTGGAGCTCGAGTCTCCCGGAGCAGTGGAGTCTGGAGAAACCTCCCCTTTACTTTGCTAGAGAATGATAACTGTAGTTGATTTTACTAAAGTTAAGAGCAAATGAGTGGTGGAATGCCACATTAACGGGGGTGAGGCCTGGCAAGAACCCGGGAAACGGAGTCATTTCCTATCAATTGTGTAAAAGATGAAGCTGGAAAGACAAGGAGAGAGAGAAGCGAGAGATGTTTTATTCATGGGAGAGAACTCGTCACAGCACCGACTGAATCATTACCTTGACGACATTACCAGCCACATTGGAGTTTTGGGAAAACAGTTATAGACGCTGAACCCTATAATGTCAATACCAATTCTCTAAAGACAGAGACAAGGGAGGAACAAAAAAGAGCATCGTCAGGATGCATCAGGGCGCAGATTCCCCTTGCTCCAGGGTTGGGGAGCTCTCTTCTAGGCACTTAATCCTCCATCTTTTGTATCTATTATAAAGCATTATATATAACTTTTTTTTTTTGGTGGCTCCCTCTTCCGTGAGGATCCGAACGGCCATTAGAGGAGCATCTGTTCCGCGGGCTGGCCGATACATTGGTGATTCCTTGTTGGCATGGAGAGCACGCACCACTGTGCCTCCACCACCACCAACCATACTCACTTTTGAAATCGTTATTTTATTTAAGGGGAATTTTTAAACAGAGAATGGAAAAGGGAATCAGGGGGAAATTTAAAGAATCAGGGACATAGAAGGTAATCAGGGGACTGTAAAGGTAATCAGAATGGAAGGAAAACAGGGGAAAGGAAGGTAAAACAGGGGAATGGAAAGTAATCAGGGGAAAGTAAAGTTAATCAGGGGAATGGAAGGTTGTCAGGGGAATGGAAGGTAATCAAGGAATGGAATATAATCAGGGGGGTGTAAAGATAATCAGGGGAATGGAAGGTAATCGGGTGTGATTCAAGGAAGAGGAGGGTACCTCTAATGCCCTGGATCAAGATTCTCCTCACCCTCGTCAAAGATTCGTCGTCACTCTGATGGGACCACCCTGACTTCCTGGTCCTCTCCTCACAAAGACCTGCTCAAAGTTACAAACTCCTTTTTTTTTTAAACGGTGTCTTTTGGGACCTCGCTGCCTGTTGGGACCTCGCTGCCTGTTGGGACCTCGCTGCCTGTTGGGACCTCGCTGCCTGTCGGGACCTCGCTGTCTGTTGGGACCTCGCTGCCTGTCTGGACATCGCTGCCTGTCTGGACCTCGATGCCTGTTGGGACCTCGCTGCCTGTCGGGACCTCGCTGCTTGTTGGGACCTCGCTGCCTGTCGGGACCTCGCTGCCTGTCGGGACCTCGCTATCTGTTGGGACCTCGCTGCAGCGTAGTCGTGAAGAGTCTTCAGACTCTTCACGACTACGGTGCTCTTCAACTCCATTTCTGAGAGACTGATTACCGCATCTGTTGTTTATAGTTCTACTGTCTACCAGTTATGTTCTTGAATTTGTATTGATGAAGCCACTAGTTGGCGAAACGTCTACAGTGAAGATACCCAGATGTTGGACGTGTCTGTTTTCATCTTGTTGGTATAGTATACCATTAATGTACTCTTCTACCTTGTTCTCATTGATGGGATTTTTTAAGAACAATGATACTGTTTGCTTCCCTCTGACTGACACGTTGTTGTTGTTGTTCTTGTTGCTGCTGTTGTTGTTGTTGTTGTTGTTGTTGTTGTTGTTGTTGTTGTTGTTTGTTGTTGTTGTTGTTGTTGTTGTTGTTTGTTGTTGTTGTTGTTGTTGTTGTTGTTGTTGTTTGTTGTCGTCGTCGTCCTGAGTCTATTTTATTTATGCTTTTGTTTTCCATTTATGATCATGAATCTTTCTAGTAGGTAACACATTCTGTGTGTTATGTCACACATTCTATGTGTTATGTTATGCTTATGTATCCTCACGCAGAATGTTACACATTCTGCATGAGGATACACAAGCGAGAATACGTAAGTTAGGATACATGAGTGAAGATACAAGATTGAGGATACATGAGTAAGGATACGTGAAAATACAAGATATATGAGTAAAGATATACGAGCGAGGATGCATGAGTGAGGATGCATGAGTGAAGATACATGAGTGAAGATACATGAGTGAAGATACTTGAGTGAGGATGCATGAGTGAGGATACAGGAGTGAACATAGATGAGTAAGGATACTTGAGTGAACATACATGAGTGAGGATATATGAGGATACACGAGTGACAATACATGAGGATAAACGAGTGACGATACATGAGTGAAGATACACGAGTGAGGATACATGATACATGAGTGAGGATACACGAGTGAAAATACATGAGGATACACGAGTGAGGTTACATAAGTGAAGATATATGAGTGAAGATATATGAGTAAGATAAGATGAAGATATGAGTGAAGATATATGAGTGAGATATATGAGTGAAGATAATGAGTGAAGATATATGAGTGAAGATATATGAGTGAAGATATATGAGTGAAGATATATGAGTGAAGATATATGAGTGAAGATATATGAGTGAAGATATATGAGTGAAGATATATGAGTGAAGATATAATGAGTGAAGATATATGAGTGAAGATATATGAGTGAAGATATATGAGTGAAGATATATGATGTGAAGATATATGAGTGAAGATATATGAGTGAAGATATATGAGTGAAGATATATGAGTGAAGATATATGAGTGAAGATATATGAGTGAAGATATATGAGTGAAGTATATATGATGAAGATATATGAGTGAAGATATATGAGTGAAGATATATGAGTGAAGATATATGATGAAGATATATGAGTGAAGATATATGAGTGAAGATATATGAGTGAAGATATATGAGTGAAGATATATGAGTGAAGATATATGAGTGAAGATATATGAGTGAAGATATATGAGTGAAGATATATGAGTGAAGATATATGAGTGAAGATATATGAGTGAAGATACACAAGTGAAGATACACGAGTAAGGATACATGAATGAGAATACATGAGCGAGGATACATACCAGGAGTATGCCGGAAGAGGGTTTTGGAGGTCAACGCCCCCGAGGCTCGGTTTAAGACCAGGCCTCGAGGATACACGAGTGAGGATACACGAGACTGATGTGATGTATCTCCTACCTACAGGATGCTGAGACGGCCATCACCAACATGAACGGTCAGTGGATCGGCTCCCGGAACATTAGGACCAACTGGGCCACACGCAAGCCACCAGCACCCAAAAACAATGATGGTGAGTAGACCTCTAGCTCTTTGGGCACTTCCAGTTCCGCCCTCCCGCCCACGCCACCGCCCTCATGTACATGCACCTTCCACATGCGCATGCTCACACACGTACACATGTACGCTTCCACTGGTCAATTTCAGGAATCATTGTTCCCTGTGTCGGTCCCAGACCACACACAAAAAAAAGAGTTCCTCTACCCCCTTAATATCTTTATTTGTGTGTGTGTGTGTGTGTGTGTGTGTGTGTGTGTGTGTGTGTGTGTGTGTGGTGATGTATGTGCGTGTGTGTACACAACGAGTGCACACGGCATCAAGAATTTAACCCTCGTAATGCGTTAGGTGATCACACACACACACACACACACAACACACACACACGACACACACACACCACACACACCAAGAAACATACAACACACACACACTACACAACACACACACACACACATACACATACACACACACCACACACAACCACACACACAACACACACACACCACACACCACACACAGACACACAACACACACAGACACACACACACACACACACACACACACCACAACACACACACACACACACATACAGACAACACACACACACACACACACCACACACACACACACACACACACACACACACACACACACACACACACACAACACACACACACACATACACACACACACACATACACACACACACACACACACAGACACACACACACACAACACACACACACATACACACACACACATACACACACTACACACACACACCACACACCATACACACACACACACACACACACACACAACACACACACACACACACACACACACACACTCATTCGCCACACCAAATATTTAATTTAAATTCTATAATAAACTGATTTTAAAATTGATACAGATTTTAATGTTTATACGAGGAAAACAGTAAGAACTATAAGCACTTGCAAGCCCTCCCCCTCCTGCCCCTCCTCCCCCTCCTCCCCCTCCCCCCCCAAAAAAATATACATTATATATATCGTGCCATAGGTAAAACTGGTCAAGTAGCAAGAACTCATTTAAAATTAAGTCTTTTCTAAAATTTTCTCTTACACGTTTAAAGAAATATTTTTTGTCATTTATGTTAATGTAAAAATTAAATAATTTTGTACCAAAAGAACCTTAGAGAAACTTATAACAATTTAATTTTAACATGATACATGTTTGTACAAGTGTAACAGTTTGGTAAACATGACAAAAGCCCTTGATATGTAGAGCATTTGTGCGACCTTAAGACTAACTCAAGGTTAATAAGGTAATAACAGTGTTGTAATTGTACATCTGATTATTAGTTAAAGTGAATACAAGAAATTGAATATTTAACTATTTACGCTAGATGGCTTAATAAGTTCGGTAGAGAAGAATTACAGTTTTGATATAGCATAAAAAATACATTATTACAATTTAGCACAATTTAAAACAATGAAATTGAAACAATTATAAATTTGAAGTAATGAATAAATACTTGAGAAATCATCAAACATAATTTACAATAATGAAATTGAAATAATTTTAAGTCTGACGTAAATGATCAAATACTTGAGCAGTCAGAAATTATATATTTAGTTTTTTTTTTTTGAGTAACTGGTAGGTGTTAAGTATATTGTTTGGTTGATTTTGGGTGATGAGGTGATTTCTAAGTAGACTTTAAATTGATTTGCAGACAAGGCGCCTTTAATGTGCTCTGGTAATGAATTCCAGGTCTTCGAGCCCTTTATGTTCATAGTATTTTTGCATAGAGAGAGATGGACACGAGGAATATCGAAGATTGATTATTGCCTTGTGTTATACCTGTATTCTGTTGTTGTTATTAAGGAGTTTGCGAGGAGGGTTAATATTTGAGTATAATGTTCTCTTTGTGTAGTAGGCACAATAATAAATGTGAATGTTTTGTATATTGAGCAAGTTAAGGCTCTTAAAAAGCGGTGAAGTGTGCTGTCTAGTGCAGGACTTGGTAATGAGTCGCACCGTAGCTTTTGTTGGGTTATTAAGATGATTTGTTGTGAAGGTAGGTTGTGAAGGTAGGTTGTGAAGGTAGGTTGTGAAGGTAGGTTGTGAAGGTAGGTTGTGAAGGTAGGTTGTGAAGGTAGGTTGTGAAGGTAGGTTGTGAAGGTAGGTTGTGAAGGTAGGTTGTGAAGGTAGGTTGTGAAGGTAGGTTGTGAAGGCAGGTTGTGAAGGTAGGTTGTGAAGGTAGGTTGTGAAGGTAGGTTGTGAAGGTAGGTTGTGAAGGCAGGTTGTGAAGGTAGATTGTGAAGGTAGGTTGTGTAGGTAGGTGTGAAGGTAGGTTGTGAAGGTAGGTTGTGAAGGTAGGTTGTGTAAGGTAGGTTGTGAAGGAGGTTGTGAAGGTAGGTTGTGAAGGTGGGTTGTGAAGGTAGGTTTGTGAAGGTAGGTTGTGAAGGTAGGTTTGTGAGGTAGGTTGTGAAGGTAGGTTGTGAAGGTAGGTTGTGAAGGTAGGTTGTGAAGGTAGGTTGTGAAGGTAGGTTGTGAAGGATGGTTGTGAAGGTGGTTGTGAAGGTAGGTTGTGAAGGTAGGTTGTGAAGGTAGGTTGTGAAGGTAGGTTGTGAAGGTAGGTTGTGTAGGTAGGTTGTGAAGGTAGGTTGTGAAGGTAGGTTGTAAGGTAGGTTGTGAAGGTAGGTTGTGATGTAGGTTGTGAAGGCAGGTTGTGAAGGTAGGTTGTGAAGGTAGGTTGTGAAGGTAGGTTGTGAAGGTAGGTTGTGAAGGTAGGTTGTGAAGGCAGGTTGTGAAGGTAGGTTGTGAAGGTAGGTTGTGAAGGTAGGTTGTGAAGGCAGGTTGTGAGGTAGGTTGTGAGGTCAGGTTGTGAAGGTAGGTTGGAAGGCAGGTTGTGAAGGTGGTTGTGAAGGTAGGTTGTGATGGCAGGTTGTGAAGGTAGGTTGTGAAGGCAGGTTGTGAAGGCAGGTTGTGAAGGAGGTTTGTGAAGGTAGGTTGTGAAGGTAGGTTGTGAAGGTGTAGGTTGTGATGGCAGGTTTGTTGAAGGTAGGTTGTGAAGGAGGTTGTAAGGTGGTTGTGAAGGTGGTTGTGAAGGTAGGTTGTGATGGCAGTTGTGAAGGTGGTTGTGAAGGTAGGTTGTGAAGGTGGTTGTGAAGGTAGGTTGTGATGGCAGGTTGTGAAGGTAGGTTGTGTGAAGGTGGGTTGTGAAGGTAGGTTGTGAAGGTAGGTTGTGAAGGAGGTTGTGAAGGTAGGTTGTGAAGGCAGGTTGTGAAGGTAGGTTGTGAAGGCAGGTTGTGGGGTTGTGAGGTTGTTAAAGGAGGTTTGTGAAGAGTGTGAAGGATTGGAAGGTAGGTTGTGAAGCAGTTGTGAAGGTAGGCTGTGAAGGCGGTTGTGAAGGTAGGTTTGTGATGGCAGTTGTGAAGGTAGGTTGTAAGGTAGGTTGTGAAGAGGTGTGAAGGTTGTGAAGGTTAGGTTGTGATGGTAAGGTTGTGAAGGTAGGTTGTGAAGCAGGTTGTGAAGGTCGGTTGTGAAGGTAGGTTGTGAAGGTGGTTGTGAAGGAGGGTTGTGAAGGTAGGTTGTGATGGAGGTTGTGAAGGTACGTTGTGAACTAGGTTGTGAAGGTACGTTGTGATAGGTTGTGTTTGAAGGTGGTTGTGATGGAGGTTGTGAAGGTAGGTTGTGAAGGTGGTGGAGTGGTTGTGAAGGTGGGTTGTGAAGGTAGGTTGTGAAGTAGGTTTGAAGGTAGGTTGTGAAGGTAGGTTGTGAAGGTGGGTTGTGAAGGTAGGTTGTGAAGGTGGGTTGTGAGGTGGGTTTGAAGGTAGGTTGTGAAGGAGGTTGTGAAGGTAGGTTGTGATAGTGAAGGTTGTGAATGAAGGTAGGTTGTGAAGGTAGGTTGTGAAGGAGGTTGTGAAGGTAGGTTGTGAAGGTAGGTTGTGAAGAAAGGGTTTTGAAGGTAGGTTGTGAAGTAGGTTGTGAAGCGTTGTGAATGTAGGTTGTGAAGGTAGGTTGTGAAGGTAGGTTGTGAAGGTAGGTTGTGAAGGTAGGTTGTAGAAGCAGGTTGTGAAGGTAGGTTGTGAAGGTGGTTGTGAAGTTAGGTTGTTGATGAGATTGGTTGTGAAGGTAGTTGTGAAGGTAGGTTGTGAAGGTAGGTTGTAAAAGGTTGTGAAGGTAGGTTGTGAAGGTAGGTTGTGAAGGTAGGTTGTGAAGGCAGGTTGTGAAGGTAGGTTTGTAGGTAGGTTGTGAAGGTAGGTTGTGAAAGTAGTTGTGAAGGTAGTTGTGAAGGTAGGTTGTGTAGGTAGGTTGTGATGGAAGGTTTTGAAGGAGGTTGTGAAGGAGGTTGTGAAGGTAGGTTGTTGTAGGTAGGTTGTGAGTAGTTGTGAGGAGGTTGTGTAGGTAGTGTGAAGGTAGGTTGTGTAGGTAGTTGTGAAGGCAGGTTGTGAGCATGGCTTGTGAAGGTGGTGTGAGGCAGGTTTAAAGTGTAAGGTATGTTGGACTTTAGCAGTATGAAATCAATTACGTAGTGAAGTATGTTAGGAGGTTGTAAGCAGTTGTGAAAGTTGGTTAAATTGTACAGCTTTAGAGTTGTGTACATCATTTGTTAACATTTGAATGAGTTTAAAGGTTAGCTTGTATATTGTCATAGATCTAATTGAATAAACATGGTTTAGCACTGTTTTGTAAACCGCTTTTTAATTTCTGAACATGTAATAGCTTTGCAAGAATTGCTGTGTATCATTTGTAGTAGTTGGTTATTAGCACTGTGTAAGTGCAGGGTTGAACATTGGAACCAGTAACATTGTTATAGTTTTGTAACAGTGTAAGCAGGTTTGTTAAGCAGTTCATGTAGGCTTTCATGTGCTTAGAGTTGTTCAGTTGTGAGTCTTGTAGCGTTTGATTTCAGTGTGAAGGCAGCTGTTAGGTAGTGTGAGCATAGCTGTTGTGTTCAGTTGTGAAGTGGTGCAAGCTGTTTGAACGGAGTGTGAGCGTCTGTAGTGCGTGTTGTTCAGGTGTGAC